GCCCAGACCCCTGGTGTCCCCGAATGGTCCGTTGCTGTGCATCCTGAGGGTGGGAAGCTGGAAAACCATAGTGGCAACTGCCCAGGGACCAAAGGGAGCCCAGACACTATGTGGCAGGGGGCCTCTTGCTGTGGCTGGTGGCTGCTTCCTTCCCTGGGACAGTCATCAGCCCCAGGATCTCACTGCTCGAACTGACACAGAGTAGCTTCTGCCATGGAGGCAGAGATGGCTCTTGTCAGCGTCAGCCTGCCACAGTTGACCTCTGTGGGTCTCTCCCAGCCACAAGTGTGGGCCCTGAGGCTGGTGGAGCTGTGCCTGGCATTCCTCACACTTGGCCCTAAATAGCCTGGTGTGGCCACTGCTCATGGCTTTCCTGGTGGCCTTCCATCGTTCCATAAACCCATATTGTGCCCCACCCTGCAGGGCAGTCTCCAACCCTCAGCCCCATGTGCCTGGCCCCTTAGTGAGCGAACCCCAGCGTCCAGGCCTCCTCCCTCCTGCCGAGGAGCACCAGGGCTGTGGCGGCTGGTGAGGACCCTGACATGACAGGATGGGGAGCTTCCACAAACAAGAGGCTCTGGGGGTTCCAGGCCCTGTCGTGCCTGCAGTTCTGCCTCGTGAGGATCTCGTCCTACCTCATATGTGCCCAGGCCTTCCCCACGGTGTACAGCAGGGCTGGAGGTTGGGTGGGGAACCCTGGAACTAGTCTGGCCACCCACTTGCCTATAGACCAGCCCCTGACTGGTTCCCTGACCCAGTTTCTCCAACTGTGAGGGGAGGGGCAGGCTTCTGTTCTGAAGCCCACTGCTGTGTTCTCCAGGTGTGCAGGGATGGGTCTTATGCCGTCCATCATCTCCCTACCCTGACCTGTCTTCTGGCCCATTGGGCCAGGTGCTTGGTTCCACAGCTGCTGTGGGATCTGTGAGCTGGCCCAGGGGAGGAGCCCCTGTGGGGGGCAGAGGGTGGCGAGGGCCCCACAGCTTTGCCCAAGGTATCACTCTACAAACTTCAGTGAGGTCCTGGGCTCTCCTACAGAGCGGGGGGACTGGCAGCAGAGCCGCTGTCCCTGTGGGAGCCACAGGCCTAGCCAGCCCAGCCCACTGTCCCCATCTTACTGTGGTCATCCACGGTAAGACGAGCAGATCAAGTGGGACAGGGTGACAGAGTGACAGCTCCTTCTGGGGTGGGCAAGGGCTGCTGGAGCAATTGGACGTGAGCATGTGGGCAGCCTCCCTGCAAGGCCTGAGCACAGCCTGGGCTCCTTGTTCCTCAGCGTAGCCCTCGTGGACAAAGACGGGCCCTCCTCCCCTCGCCCCAAATCTGCTAAAGGGGGGAGGGGTGAGTGTCGTGGACCCACAGGTTGGCAGAGCCGAGCAGGCCTCCTGCCCACCCAGCTGCCACACCAGGGACTACCAAGGTCACCAGGGCTGAGGCCCAAGGGCTACTTTCTCAGGGTCCCGGTGGTGTGTTGGCCAGCTGTTGGGAGGGAGCCGTACTTAGCACTCAGCTCCTCACTGCTGGTGCCAGTTCTGTGACAATTACTGACAAGTGAGAGGTGGTTTTCATGGAAATCCTGGGGGAGAGCGTTCTGGTGGAGCCTGTGGGTTTGGGGGTGTGGGCACCTGACCCGCCACCTGGCTGGATTGCTCAGGGTCATGTAAGCTGGCTTTGTTCTTGGGCAGCTGGCTTGAGGCGAAGCCTGTGGGAAATCCCAGGACTGTCACCAAGTTCATCCCCTGGGACTGTGTCACTGGCTGTGTCTTTGGTGGGACCCTGTTAGAGAAGCATCCGGCTGATGGAGCTGGAGCCGCCTCTGGCTGGGCGCGCGCCAGGTGTGACCAGCCTCCTGCCCTCTAGCCTTGGGCTTGGCCAGAAAAAGCAATGTCCACAGATGGCCACTGGGTGGAGCTCCAAAACCAGGCTGCCCAACCTGGGAGGCTTGAATGCAGGGAATTAGAGAGTGGTTCTGATGACGCACATCACTGCTCGGACGGCACTGTTCCCTGGCACACGTGGCACCCATGGCGGGTGGGGTGAGGGTATTCCTGCCGTCATGACATGGGTGGCCAGGGTCAGCAGGCCAATGGGCTCCGATAGTGCATACACCGTGGAACAGCACTCTGTCTGGGACAATACCCATCGTTCTAGAAAGTTCCTCGCAGCCCTGCAAGCAGTGTGTCTGGGTTGGGAGGTTCGTGGTGCTGTCGCGAGGTCAGTGGCCGTCCTCTGTGCGGCCGAGAGCCTTGTTGCTGGAGAGCTACATCTACCATCTTGTCCTGTTGGTGGATGTGGCCAGCCGTGGCCAGCTGTGTGCAGGCTGGGCTCTGGTGAACTGCGTGAAAGGGCTTTTTGGGTTAGACCTTGTGGTAGGACAGCTGGGACAGATGGTGACTGAGTCACTGCCAGCAGCTGTGCCACTTACAGCCCCCCTTTTCCACGAGAGCCTGGAGGTGTGGGGGACGGGCTAAGCTGAGGCTATACCCTTTCTCAGACCGAGGTGGGTGGGAACCCTGGGGCCCAAGTTCTCAGAGAGGCCCGGTGACTGAGTTTGGGAGGCACCATGCGTGCCACCCTCCTTCCACAAGTTAGAAGTGCACTAGATGAGGGCGAGCATCAGAGAAAAGACAGTGTGGCCTCTCGCGTGTCCGGCACCTACCTCCCTGGACACTTCGTCTCGTCGACCCCATCCTCCAGACGTCAGCGCGCACTGGGCAGGGTGTAGCTCTGCTCCCTGAGCACATGGTGACAGGGACTCTGGTGCTCTGGGGTGTCTCGTGGGTCCCTGCAGGCACCGCAGCTCGCAGCCCTGGGCTCCAGGACTTTCCATTACTCATCAGACAGGAGAACTCAGGGGTGGACAGGGTCCCGGGCTGCCCTGGGGTGGACAGGGAGCTGGTGTGGTTCATCCTGTACCTGCAGGTCCTTCCGGAAGTTACCTCCGTCCCAGATGTGAGGCGCCTCACTCAGCCACCTAGAGGGGTTCAGCATGGGGCCAGGGCCTGGCTGGCGCGCGCCTTCCTTCTGTTCTGTTCTGTTCTGTTCCTCCCCGTGTCTTGGTACTGCTGGGCAGTTCACACCTCGCCAGGCATGGCCCCAAGCCATCTGGTGACTCTACCAACACCACTGATTGGTGTCTTGTGCCTTAGCAGGGGTTCACAGCAGGTAAGCTTGGTGTTCAGAGGGCTCTTCCAGTGCTGGCTTGGAGCCCAGGGCCATGTGCACACTGAACACAGCTGTACCTCTGAGTCGTACCCACCCCACACGCACGCCTGTTCCCACCGTGCAAAACCCCGCTCTGCCATATGCCATGCCTTCAGGGCCTCTGCTGCCTCCAGCCCTTGCCACGTCAGTCCTCATGTTGTTAACTGTTTGAACATACCACTGAGAGGTGGCCCGCTGCACAGCCATGCCCAGCCCATGCTTGCCATCCTAGGGCCCAGCCTCCGCAAGGCGCTGTGACACTGCCGCGTGTCTTCACTGACAGACACCTTGCAGAGCAAGCAGAAGCCTGGGCGTGAGCTTGTCTCAGGCAGCTGGCGCTCATGCCAGGCTCTGAGCTGGGCCGGCCCCTCGACTACTTCACCCTCTGCTGGAGAAGTGGTGTTCACCACAGGACAGCAGCTACTTGTCTGTCTTCGCATCTCGTGAAGTCACTCAAGGAACTCAGCCAGACCTTACCGCTCTGTGTAATGAGTGTCACCCAGCCTGATCTGTCTCTGGGCCTCAGCTCCTGCCCTTCCCTGCCCTCCAGAGACCCCAAGCCACATCACACCTTTGGGGACTTGGGTAATCCCAGTGCTTTCTGGGTGGCCCACCTTGCATCCACACTTGTGGAATCTCATCAGTGGCCTCATCCAGGTGAGGCGATGAGCATGTGTGTAAAGGCCATGTTGCTGCAGTGACTCTGTCCCCTCACATGGAGGTGGTGGTTGGTGCTGCCCACCCCAGTCTAAAACGAGGGAAGAATGGGTGGCTTTCTGTGGCGTTGGTCTTCATAGAACTCTGCAGAGTCTTCCTGTCATACCCTGGGACTTGCCCTGGAGTCCAGAACAAATCAGGTAAGAAAAATGGACACAGCCTCCGGAAGAGGGCTGGACCTCTGCAGTAGGAAAACCTCAGCTGCCCCGGGCTGGCAGCAACATCAAGGGGAAGAGTGCCAGCCGGCAGGACGCGGCAGCTGGACAGTGGCTACGAGCCAGCCGCCCCATCAGGGAGACGTGGCTGGACAGCTCATCACAGCTCCGCTCCCTGTGCCGCGATGCTGGACACAGTGCAGCAGACAAATGAGAGCTGCACGCAGTGGTCGGGGTGTGAAGGCCCAGATGGCAGAAGTGAGGCCTGTTTTGTACAGATGTGCGCAGTAGCCACAGAAAGGCAGTGGTGGACTTCAACATCGGGACTGGGCCCCTGGCCCAGTGGGCATCCAGCCCCACCCTTCTGTCCCAGCCCCTGGCTGGTTCTTAGCTGCTCTGGGGGGGGGGGGCGTCATGTGGAGGCCCAGGCCCCCGCAGTGTCACTGCACTCGCCAGCACCCTCAGGACTCCTTCTTTTCTTGACCAAGCCGAGTCCCAGCAGGTAAACCAGTGCCAGGCACGGGGTCAGGAGTGAGGGGGGACGGAGCTGGGCAGAGGAGGGACTTGCTATGGACTCAGCCTCACCTGTGAGCACCACAGGTCTTGGGTAGACTGGGCCCCAAGAAGGCTTCATGTAGCACTCAGTCAGCAACATGTGCTCAGTGGACATGGCTGCTTCTTGGAGGGTCTTGTGACCCCCTCTTTGGGCTAAAGGGCTGCTGTGTGGAAGATGGGCCCTTGCCCCTGCCCCTTCAGAAGGCACAGCAGCACCAGCAGTGGGGGTGACACTGGGCACAGGGGTGTTCTGTGTTTTCTGGCTTCTGTGGGGAGGGGAAGCTTCCCAGCAGGTTCTGGGAGGGGTCTCTTGGCTTGGTGAGGAGTTCGGTAACACAGCACCTGTCCGGTGGGATGAGGGAAGGACAGGCAAGGCTGCAGTGCATGCTGATAGACAGGAGCTGGCATTACTGAGCTCCATCTAACGGACCCTGTAGATCCTGAGTTGCAGTGGCCTTGTTGTGAGCTGAGGCGGGTCAGGAGTGAGATCCTGAGAGAGCCACGCACCCAGCACCACGTCCATTCACAGAAGCAGGCCGCACACGGGTTCTCCAAGCTGCAGGCTCTTTATTAACATCAGCTGGGTCTCCAAGTTACATGCCCCTCCCATACAGTCGCATTTCCTTCATTTCTCAGATTTGCCCAGCACTTCCTGTGTGCAGAGGATGGGGGCCAGATGAGTCCTCCTGCATTTGCCAGGAGCCTGTGGGGAAGCCTGTCCCCAGGCCCCGGAAGCCCTGGGCACAGGCGGGAATTTTATTCCCCACCAGGGAAGAGTGGGGACTGGGCAGTGATGCCTTCGCCCTCTCCACACTCAAGGCTGCTAACCGGAGTCCCCTCAGGGGCACGTGCAAAGACAGACTGCAACAGAAACTAAAAACTAGAAGCTTAAATTGCCAGGGAAGCACCAATTTTATGGCACTGTGTGGTCTGTCACACATCCCTAGAAATACATGTTTTAAAAATTCAGAAATCAGAAGCCAGATGTGGTGGCACACACCCGTACTCCCAGCGCTCAGGAGGTTGAGGCAGGAGGATTGCAGCTTCCATAGATTTGGTATTGGGTGAAAGGCGTGAGGTAAGTTAGGCCTCGGTCAAGCTGCTCCCCGCAGTTTTGTTTTCACATTCACAGAACTTCAAGCAAAAGGTCCAGCCCCGGGGGATCCATGGTTACGTGACAAGACCCACACTTTCAACTGGGTTTAAATGCAGACTGTGACGTGCAATGTAACTCCTTCACTTATTCCCCGCCTCGCCCTTTGCCAAGTGCTTTTTGTAACAGCAGTGTTTGTGGCTCTTGGTACATTGGCCACAGCCAGCACAGGCCTGGTTTCCTGCAGTGGACTGCACAGTCTGCAAATCCAAGGTTAAACTCACCTTGTGGAGTCCCGAGTAAGGAAGCAGGGCAAGCTTTCTCATGGATTAATAAAGCAGGATCGTGTGTTTTAAATTGCAGTCGTCAGGCAGTGTTGCTAGCACAGCTGAAGACCCTGAGACACGTGGCTTTGAAAGCCCTGTGTCCAGCCTGGGAAGAAGTGGGGCGCTGAGCACCCTGGCTTCCCCACAGCCGTGTTTTCCGTGAGTAGCTGGGTTCCCATCTGCACGCGCACATGCTCCCCACATGGCAGAATCGGGTCAGACCACGCGGTAAGACCAGGACGAATGGAGCAGGCAATGTGGTAAGGGGTGCTGTGGACATGTTGCAGCAGCCACCAGCTCCACGCAGGCTGTTGGGGCTGGAGTCTGGGGGTCCAGGTTGTTGGTTAAGTTGGGCTGTCCGGATGGGAAGCCGACTGGCGTGTGACCGACTGACCCTCCACCAGCCCTGTGCGTGAGAAGGGAGGGAAGCCAGGCATGCGGCTTTAACAGTGGTGTGCCTTAGTTCACAGTCAGAGCCGCGCAGAAAACTGGTGTGCGGTTCACCCTGTGGGTCACAGGCAAGGCCCTGGGCTGGCCCAGGCTGTCACGGCTCGAGGGGCAAGGAGCATCAGCGCATTTTATAGTTAATTCCTCACGGGCAGATGCACTCGGGAGGGACATGATTGAAGATGCAGTCTGCATTCAATAAATAAAGCTACAGAACTTGCCGGCACCAAGGCCAGAACTTGAGGTCCCTGTGCAGCAAGGCCAAAGCGTGCAGAGCCCCAGCTGGTGGCCCTGGGGCAGGCGTGTTCACAAGGAAATGTGTCACAGGCATTGTGAGTGACATCCCCAGCGTCTGCTGGGACGGGAGGGGGTGACAAGGAACGGCTCAGGGGTCACACAGGGAGGTCTTCAGAGCCAGGTCCGGGGACTGTGGTTGTGACCCAGCCCCGGAGAACTGGGTGGAGGAATAGGGCCTTGCCACACCCACGCTTTAAAGTAGATGTTTACCAGTGTGGGGCCCTCGAAGGTCAGAGTGAGGTGGATGAGGCATGATTGGCCTGGACTGCGGTCACCTCCAGGCTGGGCCTCACCTGCACTGCCCCCCACTCTCACCGCCACCCCCAACATGCAGGTGCAGCCCCACGTGAAATGGACCGGTCAGAGCCCCTCAGGATGGGTGCTGGTCCTCGGTTACCTGGGGAGGCCTTCGCCTTGGTGGTGTCTGACTCTGGTTTATTTATGCTCTTTAGCTGTGTGCACACTCTGGGAGTTGACTGGCAAGGTCAGGTCTGTGCTGCCGCTCTCCATGGGGAGCAGGGACAGTGCTCCTTAGTTGTCTCTGTCTCTCTGAGTGGCGCCAGGTGGCAGTGACACCCACATTCCCCGCACTGTTTCCTTCATCTTAATACTCGTCATTTTTTGTCAAACATCTCAATAGAAAAGAGGGAGTCAAGTCCTGTGACAGTGTCAAGTATAAATATGGCTTTGGGTTTTCATCACTTCATTTAGAAAGCCTGCTGCTGAGGGGGCTTGAGAACCCTCTCCAGGGAGGGAGAGATGCACGTGTCCCGGGGACAAGCAGGGAGGGTAGCGAGAGGTGCCCGCTCTGTACTCAGCATTTTGGGAAAAACACAGGAAACAGAAAAAACAACCCTGTGCTGTTCTTGCACCACTGCATGTCCTGGGGAGAAGGCATCCCAGTGTCAGATGACAAAGTGCTGTGCGTCTAGGTGAACCTCAGTTCTGCTCATGGGTGTCCATCTCCCAGGCCATGAGACCAAGGCAGGGAGTGAGGGCCTGCAGCGTGTCACCGAGAGTGCTGTGCTATGTGTCCAGGGACTGGGCCCCTGGCTGCCCCTGTGCCTGCACCATGGCCGGCTGGGTCCCTATGCCTGCTCCATGGCCCCTGAGGAGCAGCGCTGGCGCCCACAGTGCACTTTCTTTGTCAGGCGCTGGAGTTTGGCAGGGAAGGTCTTGTCCATGTAGCGGTATAGCAGGGGTGTCACCGAGCTGCTTGAGAAGGCCAGGAACTTGGACAGGTCCCTGGCGACATGCAGGACCCCCAGGTAGTGCCCGTCCGTGGGCCTCCCTCGCGAGACCAGCACCGTGTGCCCCAGGAGGCTCAGGTAGTAAGGTGTCCAGAGCCCAAATTGCGTGCACACGGTGGCCATCAGGAGCCTGTGCACTGCGGGGTCCAGGCGGCCCACGTCCTGGTCCAGGGGCGTGTCCTCCTTTCGGACATGGGAGATGAGGGCCAGCGCGTACAGCATGGCCAGGCTGGGCACCACATAGCCGATGAGCACCAGGATGGCGTCAGCGGCCTCCGTGCTCTGCATCTCGGCGCACTCAACGGCATGGGAGGATGCGTAGCTGCAGACGTAGAAGAGCAGGGAGGAGAAGCTGGTGAGCAGCGCCCCACCCCACACGAAGCCGCACACGTGCCGTGTGTTGTACACGCTGGCCACCGAGCTGTGCGGCACGGCCCGCTCGATGTAGTAGTCCAGGCTGAGCAGGGCCGTGGAGTACATGGTCACTAGGGCAGCCACGTGGAACAGGATCAGCAGCGTCACCTGGGCCTCACTGCTGAGGCTCCATGGCGCCCACCCGGAGTGGGAGGGCCCCAGGAGGTGTGCGGGGGCTAGCATGGCCAGAACCAGGCCAGCCGTGGCCATGTTCACAAAGTACACATCCAGCATGGTCATGCTGCGTGTGCTGCTCAGGTTGGCCAGCACGAGCAGTGCGTTGTAGCCGAGGCCCACGGGGACGCCCACCACCACGGAGAGCAGTGAGAGAACCCACAGCCCGCGGTGCAGGTCCTGGCACAGCGGCTCCTCGGCCCCTGTGCTGTTGAGTGGGCCACAGCTCCACATGGCAGCTCTGTAGAGAGAAAGAACAAGGTCAGTGTTGCCGTCCCCGGCACGGCACCACCCTGGGCTCCAGGGAGAGCTGCCCTGTGTGCTCTGAGATCATGGGGACGCCAGTGGCCTGGTGACTCTGCAGGACCCTGCTGTGGAGGCTGCGTGTCCAGAGCCCTGCTGGCCATGTCCCGGGCCCCTCTCCACCTGGACGCTTTAGGAACAGAGCCCACCCAAACACTGGCACATCAGCCACCAGTCCCGCGTGATGGCCGAACCTCCCTCCCCTGACATGCTGAGCACCTGAACACACATGCCTGTCACCTGGTAGGTGCAGGCGTGAACACCTGTGGGGTGTGCCTGCCCAGCGGGAGTGGGAGGGCACGCGTGTGTGGAGACACGTGGATGGTGCTCTCAGGACCCATGAGCAGATCCTGCAAGAGCAGCTGACGCGGGCCAGGCTGGGGACCTACCCCCACCCCCATCCCCCTCCCCCAAGAAGAGCTAGCACTCTGGAGAGTACGTGTGCACACGGGAATCCCAGGTCTGCTTCTGAGGCCAGCATGTCTGGGAGCAGGGGGGGCTCAGCTCACTCTCCAGGGTGCCAGCCTGAGGCCCACGTCACCTGCTCTCCTGAGGTTTGTGTAGCATCTGTGGGCGCTCGCATCTGACAGTGCTGGGGGAGACAGCAGTGTAAATGTCTGCCCCAGGGCACACCCCCACACACCCCGTCCTGCAGAGTGGCCCCAGCCCATGGCCTGACTCCCAGGGGCAGCACAGAGCCTGGGTTGCAGGCTGTGTCATCCAGCCAGTCTTGCTGTCACAGGGAGGTATCATGAGGTGGGGCGTGCTGTAGGAAGAGTCCCGTCCTGACCTGTTCTTTGGAATGCCCAGTTCTCCAGGGGATACCGCATGCAGAATGTGGTTTGGTGCAGCCAGACCTCCTGCTCTCAGAATCAAACTGTTGTAGACAGACACACAGGAAGCAAGCACTGCTGTTTCCCAGAGCTCCAGACAAAGCCAGGGAGCCAGGCTGCTGGGTGTTGGCACCTGTCCTTCCACCACAGCAGCTGGAGGAAGCTCTGGCCTCATGAGGGCTGTCCCCACTGGCTTGCTCTGTGCATCCTGCAGGTGTGCACTGACAGGGTGGGGAGCCACTTGTGCTCTGGGTGACAGCAGTGAGTAGGGAGTGACCTCCTGTCACCACTGACTCTGACCAGGGCAGGGGGACAGCAGCGGGACAGGGGAGGCTCGTGATGAACATGAAGAGTCAGTGCCAATGGCCTCATGAGGTCCCACAGCATGGGGTGGCCTGGAGAGCCAGAATCTATCCCTGACATCAGCCTGGGTTGTCAGGCATATGGGTTGGGCTGGGCGGGGACACAGGCAACAAGCGGGGGCTGCTGTGCGGTCCTAGTGAACGCCCTGGCAGCCCAGACCACGGCGGGCATCATTGGGAGCAAGGTGCTTGGTGCTGCCTGTCTGGGCATAGGGACGCCCTCTTTCCTGGGACAGGTGTCCTCAAATGCAGACATCTGCTCTCCCTTGTACCCCACTGCCCTTCTTTCCCATCTCGGCCAGTGGGTCCCATGGAGTGCCAGAAGCACATAGCCTGACTGGCTCCTGGAAGGTGCTGTTTCTGAGGGGACTTCTGTCCTCTGGGCTGCCTGGTGGCTGGTCCTTTTCTGTTTCTCCTTCAGTTCCAAAGTGCTTCCGCCAAATCCTAGCCACTGGGGCTGAACAGGAGCCCCACTGTATGGATCTTGTCCACCCACCCCAGTACCCTCAATCCCCGAGACCCACTATGCGTTCTGGGACCCTGAGAGTCCACATCAGCACCTGTCCTCTCCTGGCCACTATCCCATATCACATCCCCACCGGCGTGGCCTGGCATGGCCTGGCTGACATGTTTCAGTTTCAAACCTCCCTCCATCTCGGGGCAGAAGTTGGGAGAGCCAAGTGTCCCTCTGCTGAAGACATGGTCTGCTGTTCTTCATTCACCAGATCTGGTCAAGGGCCAGATCCCACTCTGTCCCTCTTGCTCAATGTTGCTGTCACTTGACTGAGAGACACTCCTAGGTCACAGGTCACACATGCACGCACGCACAGACACACAGACACACACACCCTGCATCTGCCTCCCTCAGTCCCAGTCCAGCTCGGCTTCCAGCAGCTCTGGCCGCTGGGCTCTTACCTTTATCTTGTGCCCTGAGTTCCTTTGTGCTGGGAGCTCCAGATGCCATCAGTGGGCAGCATGGCAGGGCAACCTGTCGTGTGTCTCGTGGGCTGGCAGGTATGGTTAGCGGCACGCTCCTGCCGTGGAGGCGCGGCACTTGTTTTCCCAAGAGAATTACTCACGGAGTCTCTGCGTCCTTGGCAGGCGCAGTGGCTCCTCCCTAAAACTCTGTTTACAGTGGGTTTTGTGCTTGGAGGGGCCGGCAGGCGGATCGCAGATCGAGCCACTCATGGCCTCTCGCTCTAGCCGGGTGAACACCCAGGCTCCTGGGGCTGGCCTGGCTCACAGTCAGCTGTAACGAATTTCCCCCCAGCCCCACAGCATCCTGCACAGAGGTGCCAGGTTCAGCGTGGCTGAGTTCTCTTGCAAGTTCCCTTGTCCCTGAAGGAAATAAACGAGCAGGCATTTGTCTGTAGCAGCTAAGGACAGAATAGCTGGACCTCCCCGGGACTCTGCCATGGAGATGCTGGCCACTCTTGCTGCAGACCAGCGACACAGAGCTCTCTGCAGGCTCAGCATGGGGCAGGGCAGGCATAGGATGGAGATCACGATGGGGGCAGGGAGGCTCCCACACACTTCCCCATGCCCGCGCTGTGCCCCATCGGGGATTTAAGAGGACCATCCTGGGAGCGCAGGCGTGAGCCTAAGACCCCATGCAGACCCCGTGCGTGGCGGGGCTGCTCTGCCCTGGCCGGTGCCTCGGCCGGGCGATTCAGTGCTGGGGAGCTGCCTCTGTTTAGAATTCCCTTGGTGTTTGGTGTGCTGGTGCAGCCACAGCCCCAGGTTCGAGAGCAGTGCAGGGTGTCTTTACACTGGCCCCGACAGATGCAGAGTGGGAAGGGCTGTGGAGTTTATCGGCAGCTTACACTCGCTGAAGGACTGATAAGCTTCAGAAGCTAGGAAGCTTCTCTGTGTACTTTTTTTATATGTCAGTTTTGAGACCTTGCATTTGTTTTCATTCACCGTCAATCCTTCTGAAATCGCTGCTCTTGGCTTATTGTTCTGACACTGTCGCCGGGAGGCCCTCCTTCTACAAGGTCCTGATAGCAAAGTGGCCATCGTGGATGAACTGTCCTCTGTCACCACAGCCGTCTCCTCTCCTCTGCAGTGTGTGTGGGAGTGCAGTGGCCACAGGACTCAGTGAGTCCAGTCAGGAAATGTCCGTGCCTTTCCCTATCACAGTAATGAGTGACATACTTCCTCCTTTGTCACATAGGGTCCCAGGGCACCTGCAGGAGAGGCCCTGTCCTGTTGAGGCTGTTGGCACTTTCTGCACCATCTCCACGGCCTTGGTGGCCCTGGCTCCCAGGACGAAGGCAGAGCTGCCATCAGTCCCCTGCATCCTCATGTGTTCCCTGACCCCTGACTATCTGGGGAAGAGGGACACCTGGTAGCCGTGACAATGACTTGCTTTCTACCCTTCAACCCGGGCCGGGCTGTCTTTCCAGTTAGCCAGGCCTTCTGGTAACTTCCTTCGTGAGAAATTGGAGCCTGGAAGGAGACTGTGGGAAATTGGTGGGGGCGGGGAGAGAAATCCCCTAAAGCATCCTCAGAAGTGAAAGGTTGAGGGACGTCCCCGGAAGCCAGGAGACACTGCCTCTCTGTGGGAGGCCTGAAGAGGGCAGAGCAGGTCCACCACTGACTCCTGAGCTGAGTCCAGGACGCACAGTCCCTGGTGCCCTCTCGTTCTGCCCTCCAGATGACAGCATGAATTATCCAACTCTGGGGCCTGCCTGCTGCCCAGTGGTTCAGGTGACTGGGAACCCAGAAGGCCTCTCATCATCAGACCAGGAGAGAATGACCTTGATCCTGCCACCTACAGTCACAAAGCTGCCCAGGCCCCAAACCCCCAGCTCCCGGCCTGTCTCCTCATGTGCCTGGAGCTCTTCTGGAAAGGCCTCCATGTCTGCCTGCACCTCCAGTGACCCTCCCAGGAACTCTCTTCCTCCTCCCCGTCCTCCTCCCACAAGGCCCTGCCCCCACCACACTGGCTGGTTTGGCCACCTTCCTTCCATTCTTGTCCCTGGCCACTCCCACCCCCGAAGCCCTCCCCCATGCTTCCTGCAGGACCTGCCACACTTGCAGGTCCTACCCAGGTCCTGTGTCCATGCCCACACCCCTCAGACCAGCACCAGGAGCTACTGACCTCATTTCACCCTGTCTCCCGTTCCCCGAGGCCCCTCCTGCTGGCCACTGCCACCATCCAGCCACTTCACCTCTGTGGGGCCCTAGTTCCTCCCCTGACCTCCCCCTCTGCTGGCCGAGGGCCCAGCCTGCCCAAGGCGGCTTTTCCACCTGCTTCAAGCTCCATGGCGACCAGGGAGCACAGTCTACTGCCAAGCTCTGACCCCAGATGCAGTTTCCCTAGAAGGCTGCTATGGGGGACACGGGGCAGGCTCAGCCCTCTCCTCCCTGCCCACAACCTCTGAGTCCTCGCCAATGAGGTGACCAGTGTGGTCACTCTCTCTGTGCAGTGAGTGGGATGTGGCAGGTCAGCCTTTCCTGAGACGGGAGCCCAGGGGCCACAGGCCATGTGTGGGATGCAGGACCATGGCCATCTGTAAAGATGGTCCTGTTACCATCTTTTCACTGTTTCCTTCCCATTAAAACAACTCAGATGCCCTCTCTTTTTCTTGCTTTTACATTTTTTTAAATTATGAAATGCGCACCCCATGGGGTCAGGGCCAGCCTTGCATCTGACCACCATGCTCCCCCAAGAGGCTGGCACCACCTCGTGTGTGTGCACAGGTGTAAGGTGTGTGGTTCCAGGCCCGAGGGCAGCAGAGGACAGGCAGAGGCGTTGGCAGAAGTGTGCCTCACTCAGGCCATTCTGACACACCGCAGCCCCTGGGCTTTCAAGAACCTGTGCCCAGGTGCCCAAGAGCCTGGCCTGGCCTCCTGTTCGTCCCCAAGCAGCCGCTCCTATAGCACAGGGAAACTGGACACCTGTCCCAGAGAGCTGGGTTCAAGAGACGGGACCAGGGTCAGGCCCAGACTCTACCTTACGAACAGGCTGTTTCTTCCGTGTGAGTGACTAGTAGGTGAGCAATCCCTTGGCCACTGTGGGGGCCCCGGGTGGGAGCCCCATGCCAAGCTTCGTGTAGCATCCCAAGGAGTGCAGAGGAGGCCTCTCCCATGTTGACGGAACTCAGGGCAGAGTGCCGGCAGCCCTCTTGTGGCTCTGTGTTCCTGTCCAGGCCTCTCTGCTGACTTTGGGGTGACCTCAGGCTAACCTGTTCATCACCCTTTCCCAGCCAGGCGGGAGGGCACAATAATGAGGGGGTGGCTTCAGCAGGCTGGGGTAAGGCCACATTAGTGCTGTGGGCGGATCAGAGCCCGGTGAGCACCCAGGGCCTGTTTTGCTTCAGAGGAACACTGAGGGGCCCCAGGGAAGGTGCCCAACCTGTGAGGCTCTAAGCTCTTAGCTACTTCCACAACTCCTGTTCCTCTGCCAGGGTCTCTGTGTGTTCCCTACTGGAAAGTCACTCATGTCAAACGCCCTCCCGGGTGAGAAGCAGAACTCTGTTCCCCCAGGACCACACCAGAAGACGCACCCGCCCCAGAGAGGCCCTCACCAAGACCTCCCCACAGGCATCCCGTCTCCTCCCTCCCTCTAAGGAAAGCTAGATGAACCCCAGGTACTCAGGAGGAAGGGGAAGGAAGGTCTCGAGTTCAAGGCCAGCCTCAGCAAAGTCACCTCAAAAACAATGACAGAAAGGCTGGGGGTGTGGCTCACGTGGTACAGCACCTGCCTAGCAAGCCAAGCCCTGAGTTCAAACCCCAGACTGCAAAAAAAAAAAAAAAAAAAAGAAAAGAAAGGAAAGCAACAACAAAACCCAGGAGTGCCTGGCCCCCAGACCCACAGGGACTGGCAGGAGAGGGCCTTGTGAGGTTTAGGTGACTCCCACTGTGCTCGGGGCCCCAGGTACACTGAGCATGACAGGCTCGAGGCTCCTGGCTGCCATGCCCCACCAGGTCTGGGTGACACAGTGGGACACAAATAGGTACAGGTGCATGCAGCTGGCACGCACCCTGGTACACCGTAGTGCGTGTAGCGAGGTTACACCAGACCTGGAGCTTTCAGACATTGACTTAACGTCCAGCCTGACACACTAGGGAGCTTGACTGAACGTGGGGCCACCGTAATAAAGTTCCTGGCAGAAGCTCGTGCTCCTGGAGCCACAACAAGTGCTCCAAGGGACACTGAGTCCCTTGGCTCCCTGTGAAGAGCCTGGTTGGGAATTCATCTCGGGAGCCAAGGTACCTGGCTGCGTGTCATTCTCCCTGCTCACAAGTCGTGAGCCTCTGATTGGTACCCTGCTAGCTCGGTGCCTCAGTTTCTCCAAGTTTACAAAGAACCTCTTGAGACTGTAAGGACAGTTGAACAGACCAGTTCTTGTGAAGCTGAGGCCAGGCTGGGCCTCTGTGTGGCTGGTCATCCTCCCTGTTGTCACTAGAGGCAGGGGAAGCAGATCTGTGACCTTTCACTCAGAGTCGTGGTTAGCTGACACAAGTAAAGAGGAAACTACAGGAAGGGTGGGAATGGCCGTACATAAGCCCAGGTGACAAGCTCAGTAAGCTCTGCTGGGGGGAGGGGGTAAAGGCAAGGGTGAGAGCCATAGTGGCCCCCAGGGCTGAGTCTGGGGACCAGGCCCCGCAAACGCTGAGGCTCTGCGTGCTGGGCTGGGGCCTGTGTGACCACAAACAGTGAGCTTCCTGATGTCTCTGCGTTAAGCAACAGGATAAACATTTGCCTCTCCAGCTGTATTCGCTGCTTTCCAAGGAATGCAGAGTTGGGAAGGGGAACACTCCAAGGGTAGGGCTCCTTTCTGCTTGTAACTTTGGTTTAGGTTTTTGGCAGTACTGGGGATTGAACCCAGGGCCTCATGCATGGTAGGAAGCCGTCTCCCACCTGAACTTTCCTCCCCACCACAACCCTCTGCTCCTAACTGAAATGTCTTGAGCTCTGTGCCTCTAGGTGGACCCCATGTGGGCCGCCCTGGCTCCTGAGGTCACCCCAGCTCTGTGGAGGACCGCTGTTCAGGTTGGCTGCTAGCAGCATGAAGGTGAGAAGCTGGCATCTTTCTGGTAGGCCTTAGTCAAGAAGAGCCCTGGGGCACAGGCCAGTTTTTTACTAGTAATGGATGTGTGTAAGTGACAAAGACCAGGGCTGAATTAAACAGTGATTCCCCCCGTGGTAGTGGGCAGCCAGGAGTGCCCTGAGGGGACTGACTACAGGTGAGAGAGGTGCAAGGGAGCAAAACGCACTCAGCAGAGAAACCTCCTGGTCCTCAGCAGCTGGACTGGACTGTCCAGGCCTCCTTACTGTGTTTTCCTGCCACGGCGGGGGGAGGGGTATGAGGGGGATGGAGGAGTGTCCAACGGGAAATTGTGTCCTCTTGTTCCTAGCCTGCCATGCCCACCCTGGTGTGGCCCCTGCAGGCCTCAGGGAGGCCTTTGAGCAGTGCTATCTCTGTATGTGTGGTTCTGTGCCTGGGATGCTCTTCCTTGCATCCCATTCACACTCAGCCTCGCCTACTTCTGCCCACCCTTGGCACTGTCCCCATGCCCTAAGTCAGGATTCTAGGCTGTAGCTGTCTCTCTTTCTGCTGCTATGCAGAGCCTGTCTAGCTATGGGAAGCAGCCTGGACACAGTGGTCTTACCCTCGACACCTTGCAGATTGGGCTTTCCCTGGAGTAGATTGCCAGGCCCAGTTACTGCATCTTGAGAAGGATGGGGACTTACGGATAGGTGGCTCAGCTTCTGTTGGAAGAAGACCTGCTGTGCACCAGGGGACCCTACTTCGGGTGAATGTTCTAGAACAGTCAGAGTGCTTTGACAATGACTTCTGAGTGTTTATTTCCTTTTGTAGTCACGGGCAGAGGCCTTGGTGACAATTAACATCCAGCGCTAGGAGCCAGACCCTAAAGGGGGGGTGACATTGTGGGTTTTCATTGTGGAGAGCTTGAGCTCTCTGATTCCTGTCACCAGCTCCAGCCTTCGTGTGGTGTGAGGGCTGGTTTGCATTTGTAAGACCTTTTGCTCTTCACATTTCTCTCTGTCACCACAGAGCAGTGAGCACCAAACCAGGCAGCCTGGCATAGATGGGCACAAGAGTGCGCTTTCTTCATGGGGAAGAAAGCTGCTGGCTCTGGGGAGCTCGGGTGGCCGAGAACCCTGGGCTGGGTCCCTGGAGGAAGACGGGGCACACATTCTTTTGTTGATGAGGACTGGTTTGTCCCCTGATTCGCGTGGTTTCAGACTAATACCCTTTCCAGGTAATTCCAGACCAAGGGAAAACAGAAGCAAAAAAGTCTTCCTCAGAAATTTAAGGGCCAGGCTGAGAGCAAACAAAGTCTCCATTTCAGTCTCCTCCTGAGCAGATCTGGCAACCACCACAGTACTCCCTCCCCATCACCCCAGCTTTGAGTAGGCGCAGTCTTACCTGCCAGGAAGTACTCAGAAACCCTCCCTTATCTCAGCCTTGGTGGTTAGTTTTACTTCTTACTTAGACTTGGTTTACTCAGAAGAACCGCTTGCTGGTTTTTGCTCTGGGTCTAAGCAAAACAGGGAAACTCCTGGCCTGGTTCCCCTTGGCATGCGTGTGAGGGGCCCGGGGTGGGCTTCGGGGTGCACAGGACACCTGCCCTGCCTCCATCTTCCCTCTGCTTTCTGTCTCTGCCAGGGGACCCAATCCCACTCCTTGGCCACCCCTCATGTCCCATTTCACTGCCCTACTCTCCAGAGTCCCCTAAGCGCTGATAAGCTGGACGGTGCTCTGGGCCTTTGGGACCCGGTGCTGCCCGCCAGGCAAGTGGGTTACTGCAGCCCAGCTTTGCCTCCAGCAGGCAGGGGAGATGACGGAAAGAAGACAGTGGACCACCATGCACACGGCCACGTGGACATGAGGCTCTAGGCGATCACTCCCCTCCCCAAAGGCCTGGCCTAGATGTGTACAGTTCCACAGTGTGGCTGGGTCATTAAAGGACAGGTGACAGTTACTATTTCAGGATTCCAGTGACTTCCTAAAGGCAGGTTGTCAATTATACAAGCCAGCTTTGCGATGTGTCACTTAGCCACCGTAAAACAGATGCCGTTTGTCTTTACGTCCCAATCTAAAACCCTGCATGTGTGTTCTCAGGTTGCTGGGGGTTCATGAGTTTAGGAACACCAAGTCACCCTTGACCTTTACATTCTACCCCGAATCTGTGTCCAGCCCTCCTCAGGGTGTTTCCACACTCATGAGAGAGGCAGGACAACACGTGGACACGTGTGGCCCCAGGCCGTGCTTTCTGACCTGAGTGTGAAAGGGCACGGTAAGCACTCGCCACGTCCAAACTGCTTTTAAAAGCCACTGGTCTTTCAGGCCTTCGGCATGCAGGAGGGCAGCAGAGGGTCCGTCTGCAGAGCTGGACCCCAGTAGCTCTGAGTGGGTGAAATTATTAGTAATGCCTCTCTTCTCAAGGTGCCCACTGAGGACGATGGCGTCCACCCACCATTACACATGAGCAGCGGGGAAGTGGTCAGTACCATTTGCTTCACCAAGTTTTCAAAGGCCTTGCGAGCGAGCCCGGGCCACTCTAATTCAGTAGGGTGGGCGATCAGCTGTCACTGCCCAGCCAGGACAGGAGCTGCTGAGTGGCCGGGGTGTCGGGTCAGCAGCCACTGCTCTGCACAGCAAACAGAGCCTGTGACTTGGACTGGCGCAGGCAGCCGCTGACCCCCGGGTTTCCGGGTGAAGGACACTTTCCGTGTCCATCGGCTAGCCGGCCGGGGCATGGGCACCACACTGGCCAGCCCCAGACGTCCCAACCCGAGTCACTGAAGAGCTGGCGACAGCGGTGACCACGGTGCCCAGGAGCGCGGCCAGTCGGCGGGCATGTGAGGGGCTGGCCGCAGGGGAGCTGGTCGCTGTCACCGGGTCGGTGACCGCGCTGGGCCCCCGGGTGTCCGCCCCGAACTCAGCGGCCTCTCCCCTCCCGCGAGGACGGCTCGTCCCGGCTGTGCGCACCGACCCGACCCCGGCAGCCCCGGCCCCACTCACTCACCCGCTCGCTCGCTGGCCGGCGGTCCGGGCTCGGCGGAGGCGGCGGGGCCCACGGCGCGCGCCTCCCCGGCCCCTGTGTACACACGTGACCGCTCGCCCCGCCCCCGGCCGCAGAGTGACAGCTCCCGAGGCTCCGCCCCCGCCCTGCTTCCCGGCCGCAGAGTGACAGCTCCCGAGGCTCCGCCCCCGCACTACTTCCCGCGGCCCCGCCCACGGCTCTGGGCCAGTTGGGGGAGATCGGGGGAGGTCCGGGTGGGGGTCGGGGAGCGCCGCTGCCCCTTGGGAGGACCATGACCCAAGGCGTCCTTCGGCGGAGCTCTTGCGTCCGCTCGGTGCCCACGCCGGCTGCTATCTCGGCACGCAGACCCGCCGCCCCAGGAGGCCGCGTGCAATCTCCACGTCCCAGGCGCCGCCCTCGCCCCAACTCCTGGTTCCCGGGGTCTCAGTAAGCTCAGCTGGGGGTTGCAGAAAAGCATCGTAAGAATCCAGGCCTCGATGGAGGCCCAGGGTTCTGTCTGTAGCCCTTGTTATATGTGGCAAGGTGGACAAGGTCCACCCCAGTTGCAGGCTTTGTTTACTTGCGGGGCTGGGGATCGAACCCACGGCCTTGTGCAAGCCCTCCTCCTATGAGCCACATCCCAGCTGGGGTCTTTCTCTGGTCTTGGGTTTTTTTTTTTTTCTGTCTGCTGTGTCTCTGGAGCGCAGTAGCGTCTGGCACCACAGTCTGGGTTGGTCGAGGGGTTTAATATGGATTTTCTGTGGCCAGCCGGGGACAGCAACCAAGGCTGGCCCTGGTTTAACTGACCCACCTGGCCTGTTGTGGGGAAGGGAGGTTCGGCCTCTGCACTTCCCCGCAGCCCATCGTGATAGGCTCCTGGGTCCCCTGCCAGATATTCTTATCAGCAGGATTCACAGCCAGCCACCTTTGACCAAAGTGCTGAGAGTTGCACTGTCACCATTAGTCACCACAGACCCCTGACTCATGCTCGCTTGGTGGCTGGTTCTGTTCTCAGTCTAATGATCTTTTGAGATACTTAGTTCCACATTTCAGCAAACCTAAGAGACCACTGACACGACACGTGAAGTTATTTTATGGATTACTAAAAAGAAAGCAACCTGCATGTTAAAACGTTGTGACGTACTGTCCTGTCGGTTACAAGAGGTATCTGAGAAAATGTGCCTTACTGATGAGACACAGCGTCACCATCACTGTCTCCCTCATACATTTTACCCAGGTGGTCTGCATTTGGTTTTTTTGTTGTTGGTGGTGGTGGTGTTTTGTTGTTTGTTTGCAGTGTTGATCAAGCCCAGGACCCCAGCTGTGCCACCGAGCTACATCCCCAGCCCCTTTGTAGCACAGATTTGGGACTTTGGGTCAGTGTAAGTTGTAAGACCTGTGATCTCCACTATAAAAATGGCTGAAGACCTCAGGATTCCTGACCAGACTGTAGACTGTGCTTCCTGTCCCCAGAATGGTAGGCATCCCCAGGTGCTGGTGGGACTGCTGTTTGCAACTGGGGAGCACTGCAGATCAGCTCCAGCCTCCCAGCACCCATTCACCACGGGCTGCCGGGGAGAAGGACCGAGAGTCAGCATCTGGGACATACTCGGGAGGTCTTTAAAGTGAGCCCCCTCTCCCACAAGCCCAGGCAAGGATGGATAGTCACTCCAGGGGGCTGCAGCCTCACACCGTGCTGCTGGCTGTTCCCCCGACTGTGCAGGCCAGTCCCACAGCAGAATTGCCCCGGGGGAACAGGGACTGTGGAGCAGTAGTGTGTGACGCTGTGCCTGAGTCTTGGGTTTCTGGTACACCCAAGTTTGGCCCTGATGTTTGAAATTCGCGAGGAGGTAGCCTCCCCTGCACTGCTGGTGAAGGCTTCTGAGGGGCCAACATGGGCTGCAAACTCAGAGCTGCCTTTGTTGCCATGAACACCATGGTCATGGGCTGTCCCCTGATGGTGTGCCCAGCCCAGTGATCCACTCACACCATAGAAAAGTTGGAACGGCCCTTCCCCTGCCACATTCCAGAGACTTGGCACATCTCCCTGGCGTTGTGGAGTGGCCGTTGATAAGATCAGGGGCCTTCCACAGAGAGAGCACCGGGTGCTGCCCAGGACTGTTTGCATTTTGTATCTGGGGGCGGGAAGGGCTGGAGTTAAAGCTGCCCTCCTGAACAGCTGGCCGTCCTCTGGTAACTGCATTCCCAGGTGAATCGAACCCTGTTGGTCAGGGTCCTTGAAAGGTAGTTTATTAGGTCTTGTGAGAGTAGCTCATGGGATTGTTGCCGGGCTACAGGGCTGTGGTAATGCATCCAGGACCCAGCAAATTGCAGGAGGAACGAGGAGGGCCGGAGGAGAGACGGAGCCCCCTGCCCCAGAGAAGCCAGTGGGGGACAAGTTGGGAGGCACGTGGTCACACTTCAGGGAGGAGGCCTCTGCCTGGCCCTTGGGTGCTGAGCTTATGATGTTGTCACAAACAAGAGTTTTAGGACATGTCGAGGTAGAAACCATGAAAGTTTATTAGTAAAGCAAAGGAACGATAGAAGCAGTACACAGCCCAGACATGGACGCGGGCACATGTGGATTGCACCACATGATAACGGGTGCAATGAGTGCTCTGTCCTCAGGGGTGTTTACGGTGAAAAGTGGGGTGAGGGTTGACTAGAATTTACTTTAGGAAAAATGCTCCCCTTTGCTCTGACACCTGGTATAATTAGTGGCTTTTGCTGTTACACTGTCTTATCAATCTTATCATTAAATTTCGGCCACGATGACATAGCTGTGTGAGCATCCCTTTAAACAAAGGCTGGGTCCTGCCACATGCTCCCTTCAGGGCAGGGGTCCATCCTTGTGATAAGTAAGTTTCTTTGTGGACAGTTTTTGTGTGCAGAGGAGTTGTTTTCCCAAGGTCTATCCCAGGATGAGTGTCTTTCTTTAAGCTCTCCTCGCTCAGTCCACAGAGCACACGAGTTATTTTTGGGCAAGCGGGCAAGGTCAGGGGGAGAAAGCTGCTCATTTTTATTCATTTTACTAACTGGTACTGCTTGTTGAGGGGCGTAAAGCCTTCAGCAAAGAAAATAGAGTCCGTGTACTTTTAATCAAGCTGTCGGTTAGCGTGTTCATCTCTGAGTTCCTGGCTGCTGTTTCCCATGCCTCAGTTTCCCTGATCTGCCTCAAGTCCACTTGGGGCCCAGGGGCCAGGTTCCCCCATGGCCACCACATGTCAGCAGCTTTGTCACACAGACACCCTCTCTGATTCCTCTTCTAAATTCCACCCCACACAGCCTCATACCAGCCTTGTACAAGGAGGCGTGGGGGAGCAGATCTTCCCACGGTAATGTGACAAGTGCGAGATATGTTCCCCCATGGCACAGCTGAGCCTTGTGGCTAACCATGGCCCCATGGCATGGCGACCAGGGCCTGTGGAGCAGGTGCTGAGGCAGGCCTGACCCTCAGTCCTGCCCTGAGCTGTACCCTTTTGTTGGGGGTGAGCTGGAGTCTGAGGGACTGGTGACTTCTCCAGCATCTGTCTTGACCCCACCCCCTCCAAGAGCCCTAGGCCGTGGGGAGCCGGTCAGGGGAGAAGGTTATAAGCCCCTCTGGGAGAGCCTAGGGACAGTAGGACTCTATGAATGTGTGGCCGAACCATGCTGGGCCATGGAGCCCCAGGACACACTGAACCCCAAGCCACAGCTCTCACAACCTGTGGAGCCCTGCTCAGTCTGGAAATTGCAGCCCACTCAGCCGCCAGAAAAGGTGTGGCATCTGGGGAGGGGGAGCTGAGGGGGCTTTCTGGCTGGCAGCTGCTAAAAATAGACAGCAGGTATCTCTCCTGCTGCCCGCCTCTCCAGCACCTCTGGGCTGACCAGGCTGGGAGGCAAAGAGCAGTGACGCCTCTGCATACCCGAGGGGCTCGGGGCCCCCAGGTCCCGCCTGCTAGCTTCTCCCGGTTCACTGCACCCCCACTTCAGACTCAGACCTGCAAGGGTTGCCTTCACCTGCCCGGGCCCCTGTCCCTCACGGCCACCCCACTGCACCAACTGATAAGAAACAGGCCAGCTGAGAGGCCCACACAGAAGGGGAGGACAGTGTTTACTGGATGTTGTGTGTGCTAATGACAAAGAGCAGTTTGCCCTGGGAGGAGGGCTGGCCTCGGAGGCCAGAGTCGGTGCTCGGCGCTCGTAAAAACAGCACTTGGAAACCCCCACTCCTGCCCTGAGCACCCGTCAAGCTGAGGACATGGCGGGGACCCCATGCACATTTCACAGCTCTGGTACAATTATAGGGATGGTCTGATGGATTGTGTTTTAGTTTATTTTAACTAGACTTCCTGCAGCCCCATTTTTGGGGAGCTCAAGACTTCACACTTGCAAAGCAGACACTACCACTTGAGCCACACCTCCAGTCCATTTTACTCTGGTTATTTTGGAGATGAGGGTCTCATGAACTGTTTGCCCCCACTGGCCTCGAACCTCAATCCTCCTGATCTCAGCCTCCCACGTAGCTGGGATTACAGGTGTGAGCCCAGGTGACCAGCCCTTCTGACTGCATTGACTGAGGCAGAGCTGTCCCCTGTGCAGGGTCATATCTGTGACAGCCCCGCAGCTCCCTAGACCCTGCCCTTTGCTGTGCTCCAAGGGTGAGGGTGAGTCAGGCACCCCTGGGGCCATGCTCAGGGTGGAGTTCCCAGCACCCCTGTCTGCTGCATGCTCTGAGTCAGCCAGGGTGCCCTTCACTGCATGTCCTCTTCTACATGCAGGCAGGTGGGTCCCCCGTGGCCACAAGTCACTCAGAGAGGTCAGACCAGCCAGATGAACAGATCCCCTTACCCGAGACAGAGGGAGAGGCAGCACAGGCCCCTGGGGTCAGAGGCGGGGCGCTTGGTTACAGGGTGGCACCAGGTTTCTTGCACTCTCCATTTTGCAGAAGGGAAAAGCGAGACCCTGAGAGGCAGCACCCTGCCCAAGGCCACACAGCCCGCAGTGGTAGAGGCACGGCCATGGGGCGCCCCCTCACCCCTGCAG